CTCTCTCTCTCTCTCTGTCTGTCTTTGGCTAGGTTTTGCAACATCTCAGGACGTACTTCAAGAAGCGCACGGCTGCCAAGAGAAAGACTACAAAGCCTGAGGAAGCAGCCTGAGTCCAGACTCGTGCGGAGTCTGCTGTAGCCAGTGGATGTTGAGCCGACTTAGACCCTGCTGATGTCTGTGTGTGTGAGGGGCCACCAGTGGCATGCTCTATGATCAGCAGACCTATCCTGCTAAACTAAAGAAAGTTTGGGCTTTTGGCAGAGGCTTGGAGTGAAAATATTGCTCTTGATACATGTGCTATGTGTGTCTGATCTGGATGAGCAGGGTTCACACCAGCCCAGTGGGCTGTCGGCTTCTCTGATGCTGGCTCCAATACTTTTCAAGAAAGCTTTGGGGCCTCATACCATGCTGAAGCTTCGCAGATGTCACTGCGGCCATGATGCAAAACAAACCCGCTGCACCTGCAGCATGTCCAAATGATGCTGTGCAGAATTCGAATGTCACTTGATATGAAGCTTGTGCACCTCGACCCTCGAGAAGAGTCTGAATCATGCCAGGTGGCCGTGACCTTGTTGATGAAGTCGTCGAGCTCTATTGTGCCCCTCGGATGCATCATGCAGGACTCTGCTTGTGTAGAAATGTAAAATAGTCTGTTGTTTTTTGCCTGGCGAGCGCTCTGTTCATATAGATTTCAAGTGCTATCCCAGGTTGGCAATGCTTCCAAGGCGGTTGGCCTAGCCAAAACGGGTGCCAAACGTGGGGCTTCTGCTGCTGGCCTAGATCGACAACAGGAAACCTGGGAATTGAAACGTATAGCACGTGCAGCTGATTCCAGCAAAGGGAACCACCTGGAAAGTTTAACTCGGAATCTGTTGCGTGCTGGCTATGGAGTCCAGATACCCATCGACAAGATTGCCGTCCCCTACTTTCGCCGAGGTCTCTGTCAGCATCCGGTGTTCTCACTGGAAATGTTTCTTGTATATATGATCAAGACAGGCCACTCCAAGCATTTTCTGGGTGGCTATGATGTGAATACTGAAGAATCCAGAACGGTTCTGTCTCAGTACTGGCTGCGTTATCAAAAACATGATCCAGGCCACGCAGTGTTTGGAAACCGACCCCTGCAGGATACCGTGCCACTCGTATGCTACGGGGATGAGGGCACGGGGAAGCGCAAGCATCCTGTTTATGTGCTGTCCACCAAAGCACTGCTGAACTGCAGACAAGCCAGCATGTTCCGCTACTTCCTGTACACAGTCGTTCCGCACGAGTGCTACAGAGGTTTCCAGAAAGGCTCGGCCGAGAAGAATGAATGCTTGGATGCTGTTCTGGAGCACTATGTGTTGGAGGCTACCCGACTTTTCCAACAAGGCTGGCTTTGCCTTGCATATAAACGCCTTCACTCTTGCCCCTGTGGAGATGTCAAGCTTTAAACAGCAGTAAACAAGTGGGGGTGCAGCTAGATGTTCTGTTGTTCTTAAGTTTGCTTTAATCAGTTTGTACGTTTCAGGGTTTGGAGGATTTATAGGGTTGACCGACCTTACTATATGGGCATGATGCCTCTTGTCAGGAGTGGTGGTGGATGAAGGGCGCACCCTCTACTTCGCATTTGTAGGCACGGTGGGTGACTTGCCGTTCCAGGCCAAGGCCTGGAAACAATCGCGTAACTATCTGACTAAACATTGTTGCCCTTTCTGTTTGGCCACGAATGAAGAGTTGGGGGATGTCGGTGATGATCCTGCCTGGGTCATGGATGAGGTGCCTCCTCCATGGCCCCTCACATCAACTATGTCTAAGATTCCTGGCATGGCAGATGTAGAAAAGGCCCGACATGACATATTCCATTTGGGCCACCTGGGTGTGGTGCGCCACTTCTACTGCTCTGTGCTGGTACTATTGTGCCAGCGCTTCGGGCATTTTCCTGCAGGTGGTGCAAAATGGTCATTAGATGAGCAACTTGCCAACGCCTATGAGGAGTTCAGGGCCTTTTGTAAAATGATTGGGGCAACACCTTTGGTCAAAGAGTTCACCAAAAAAAATTTGCATGCAAAGGAAACAAGCTATCCGGACTCGTCATTCAAAGCGAGTGATTCCATACTCATCATGAAATTCCTGGAGTATTATCTCAGTTTGCCGTGGGCTTTTGATGACGATGGTGTCCTGCTCACCATGCTGCAGGCGGCTGGATGGTACAATGATTTTTACAGGACCTGCTGGACTGCCAAGGACAGGCGTTGGTTCACGTGTTTTGAAGCTGCAGCTGCTGTCCGAAGCTTGGATTCCTTTATTCGGGCATATGTTGTCCTGGCTCAATGGTCATATCGAGAATGGCTGTGTCATTTTGTTCTTGTGCCAAAGCTGCATTTTCTGAAGAACCTGGTACTGCAAATGCGTGCCAGCCTTCAAAACCCTGAAATCGTGTATCATGTGAATCCAGCAGTCTGGGCGACACCTGATGGGGAGGACTTCATCGGAGTCATGAGTCGGCCCATGAGAACTTTACATTCGAGCAGTGCCAGCCTGAGGAGGCTTCAAATGTACAAAGTAGAGTTGAAGAAGGCATGGGCTGGCAGCAGTGGTAAGTAGGCCTACTAGCTGCATCCATGAGCATGAAAACACAGTTATGTGTCAGTTTAGCCTGAATCGTTCAAACATACTTGACCACATTATATATACAGATTTGTCCGAGCTGCCATCACCACCAAGTCTGTGGCAATCAGAGCAGAGCGCCATGCCACAAAGAAGCTGAAGGTCGATGGCCGTGTCAGGTCGGATTGCAGGGCTATGCTGTATTTATGGGGTTTAGCTACATTGGGCCAACTTCAGAGGGTCGTCAGGGTTTGTTCGAGCTTGTGGACGGCTTGTAATGGTTGGCTTTGTGTTTCATGGGGTTACATCGTTTCAAGCTACTTGTTGAGGAGAAGTTCAGGAGCCCAAAAATCACGTGTCAAAGAATTCTTGGTCATGGCTTCGAAACCAAAAAAAGGTACAAGGTACAAGGCTACAGGATTTGTCTAGGGACACTAATGGATATGGTTCAGACTGTACATTGATGCTTCACGGATTTGGCTGCGCTTAAACCCTAAACCCTGAACCCTTACAACCCTAAACCCGAGCTGCTCTTACGAGTGGCAGTCTCTTGGTGCTCCCAATATCCAGGATTTAGCAGGGCTCTGATTCGGGCTTGGGTTTTAGGGTTTGGAGGTTAGGGTTCAGGGTGCAAACTTGAAGCTGTGACCCGAGGCAGCTGTGCATCACGTTCAAGAGCTTCTTGGATTTGGGTATTTTGGTTCATGAATTGGGGCTTAGGGCTTACGGTTTAGGAGTTGCGGGCTTAAGTTCAGGGTAAAGCATGGTCGGATCGTAGTGCTGTGCAGTCTCGCGGCATCTCTGCAGTGGAAAACCGAGAAGAGTGGTGCGCATTCCACCCAAAACCGACGATGCAACCAATATAGGGGCCTTAAGAATTAGGGTGCAATGATAGCATACTTATAATAATGAACCCTAAAATGAGAAAAGCATTAACAAAATTTCAATTTTTCTGGAAACACAGCCGCGGCCTGTAGCTTTACTCGAAGCTGTGATTGAAACCTAATTCCTCGGCCCGAGTCCCCACAACATGAAATTAGTCCGCAATACTGTTGATGATATAAATCCTGCATTACCTTAAGGACCCTAAACGGTGTATTCCTCATTATGGGTAATGCAGGTTTTATATCACCGTACGTCCCAAACCCCACACCCGAAGATGTAGAGCCTTGAGACTTAGAATAGGGCATCGGTTTAGGGTTTAGGGTTTAGGGTTTAGGGTTTAGGGTTTAGGGCATCGGGGTATGTTATAACACTATGACTATAGTTTTTGGTATCGAGGAACCTAGGAACAATGCTGAACCCTCTTTCAGCGGTACAAGCAGTGTAGATCGTGCAACAAGTCTTGCGATGAAGCCTCCAACCCTACCTGTGGAGTAAAAGCCCAGAAAGACCTACATCCTTAAGAGATCATCGAAACCATACAAGGAGCTTAGGTCTGTTCGGCCACAGATAAACCTTACACCGTCATCTCTTCGGGGGCAAGCCAAGATCAGCTCGCCACTTCTTGAAGAAGGTGTAGAGGTCCCACTTCCTGTACAGCTGCCTCAGGGCTCAGTAGGGCTTAGGGCTTAGGGCTTTGGGGCCTGTAGGGCTTTAGGGTTTAGGGTTTAGCAGGATCCTTAGCAAGGGGGCCTTAATCGTTGTTTAGGGTTTGGGGTCTAGGGTTTCGGTATATGCCCAAACATGACGAGAGCCGAGCCCTAAACCCTCTTGGCATCCTTCTAGATCCCTTGAAAGAACCCGCGGAGCGGTCTTGATCCGAAACCCTGAAGAATGACGCGGCTGTCTATTCCATGGAGTCCCGGTTTAGGATCTTCTTTTTGTTTGACAAGGGTCCCCAGAAAAGGGGCCCGAATTTCGAGAACTACCCACGCTGAAGGCTGGGACTCATTTTTGCTTGAGAAAGTTTTGTCGCTTCCGGGGGTCATCCCAGAGGAAAACGCCAGTTGTTCAGAGTCTAGAAAAGCGGCCCCCGTGTTACCAAGCACGTTCTGCCATAAAATGCGGACCATGTGGACCACAGACTAAAAGTACCGGTGGTAATCTTCGTTGACGGTCAGGGATTGCACTTTGGCTCGGCTGTGTAGGTTTTGCTACTATCAATAGCTTTAGATGAAGTCTTGGGATGCTTCGGTTGCAACATCCCCAGACCCTACCTATAGTCTCCATTGTAGTTCCTTTTTGGGGTTACCTTATAGAATCCTTAATATAAAATTGGTTAAACCAAAAAAAGGAACTACAATGGAGACTATAGGTAAACCCCAAATCCGAAACCCTAAACCCTAAACGCAACATCCTGAACCCAAAATCATAAACCCACAAACCCTGAACCCTAGGCCCGAATCCCGCCCGTTCGGGTAGCCCTATCGCCCTGGAGGAGCTTCCATACGACTCCAATACGGCAAACTGTCCTAAAGGTAGCACGGCTTAAGTAGGTTAGGGTTTAGACCAGGAACCCCCCCCCCCCTTAATAGAGCCCTTATGGTACTTAATAGTGGGTAGCTGGTAGATTGGAGGGTATTTGGGGGGTCGTTTATTTAAGGGTTCTCAGGGTTTGGGGTTTAGGGATTAATGAATGTCGGCGCCTTAATACTCCAAATCGTGATTTTCGGATATTATAACACCTATAAGTATAACTAAAAAGGACTACAGGAACTATCAAAGTGACCAGACATCAATATCATAACTAACTGTAATTCCATAAGCAAACCCGTTATTCATGGAAATTCAATCTAGAAGCTTCTCTGTTCACAAGAGTTGCAAGTAAACCTTCCAACCGGATTCCTACCGCCTAAATCTAAGCAAGCTGGTTCGATAAGCCTGTACGTAGCCCGGAAGCACTGCACCTGTCACCAAATACTGAGCCCCTAGCCCAAACCGCCCCAATGGCTTCTATTTCCCGAAAGCATCCCAGATACCTACATAGTACGAAGCAAGGCTTCTATGCTCGGATTGTGTACGTATCCCTGTACCGGTGGCATGCGGACGAGCCGCAAGGATTCCTTGAACTGAGTCGTGTGGGCTCGAGTCTGAAACCGATCGACCAGCCTGCAGACGAGGCAGCTTGCGGCCGGGTAGTTTTACAGGGTTGTGATTCGAGTTTTCCTTGCTTTTTATAGGGTTAAGTAAGATTTATTTTAAGGGTAGTGATTAGGGTGTGGCTGTCTTTTTATAGGCTGAGGTTTTTCGGTGCATTGAAGGGACCCAGAGGGTCCAAAACACCTGTATAGTGGAATGTGGTTTCTATATTCGGAATCCTTCTTATGATTTGGCAAAGTATCTCCCATAACAGTACCTACTGCGGATGATAGAATTCCTGCATTTACCTCAAGGACCCTAACCTCTGGGAATTATAGTATATATTCCTTGTTATGGGCAATGCAGGAGTCATATCATCCACCGTCGGACCCTTTGTGGGAGTTAGGATCAGGGGGACCTTTGGGGATATAGACCCTCTCAACAAGGTCCCGTTCAAGAGAGCCAGAAGTAGGGTTCAGAAGGGTTTTCTTTGAGGGGTCTCCCTAAAAATACTACCCACTTTCGGGAGTAAGGTATCGTAAGTCTTCGTCTTCCCAGACCCCCGAGCCGGCGCGGGACCTCACCCGTGCTCAAGGTATAGTAATAATATGACTGAATGTAGGGGCCTCAATAATTAGAATAGGGAGTTGGGCTCCTAAGGAACGGCCAAAATAATAAGGTAAATATTTCGGCTTCTGAATGATTCAGGTTCCTTTTCTTGCGTTTGGGGGCTGGCTGTGTTTCCCTGGACCCTAAACCCCTAAAGCCCTACACCGTAAACGCCGTAAACCCTAAACCCCTAAACCCTAAACCCCTGAACCCGAGCTCCCTAAACCGCTAAACCCTACACCCCTAAACCCTGAACCCTAAACCTCTACACCCCTAAACCCATAAACCTTTAAAGTGGTTCAAAGGGGGTTTGCAGGGTCGACTGCAACGTTGCATGGCCAGCTCAAAGCCTGGAGGTTTAGGGCTTTGGGCGTTTAGGTTTTTGGCGTTTGGGGTTTAGGGTTTAGGGTTTAGGGCTTTTCGGGGTTTAGTGAAGGGTTTTGGGTTTTTGGGGGTTAGGATTTTGGGTTTTAGGGTCAGAAACGGCCCCGAAAAACCTAGACCCAATTTGTTGAGACTGACAATGTCAAGGGCAAACCCTTACAGTACCCTCATGCCACGCTTCAGACAACCAATCCTAAACCCTAAACGCCTTAAGGCAATCTTGATCCCTCAACCCTTTACCCTAAACTCTAAACCCTATACCCCATACCCTAAACTCTAGAGCCTCGACCCTGACCCGCTGAACCCCTAAATCTTGATCCTCCGAGCTTGCATCACCGGCGCCTAGGATCCATCCAGTCTTTGATGTCCTCTGCTGGCTTACGATCTTTAGGATTTAGGGTGTTTAGGATGTTTAAGGGCTTTTAGGGTTCAGGATTTTTAGGGTTTTCTAGGGCTTTTAGGGTTTAGGGATACAGGATTGTTAGGGTTTCTAGGGCTTTTAGGGTTTTTAAGGTTTAGGGGTTCAGGATTTTTAGGGTTTTGGCGGCCGCTGTGGCTCCGAGGTGCTGGGTTTCCGGCTGATGGAGTTATTGTGGCAAACAATCCCAAGAAGCCCTTGGCTTAGGGTTTAGGGTTTAGGGTTTAGGGTTTAGGGAATCCTAAAAGTTCAGGGCTAGATACTCTAAACCCTACGAGCTCAATCCCAAGAAGCCCTTATAAACTCCTAAAGTTCAGGGCTAGATACCCTAAACCCTACACCCTTAACCCTAAACCCTCCATCCTTAAACCCCAAACCCCAAACCCCAAACCCTAAACCCTAAACCCTACAGGCCCCGGGATGTCTCAGATTTCTTCAAACTGCCGGGGCTCGCGGATTCACAGCGCTGCGCCGGATTCTTGGGAAACCCGACAACCCAATTCACCCTTAATTTAGGGGTTTAGGGTTTAGGGGTTAGGGTTTAGGGTTGGAATAGACCTTAATT